CCCCCATCTCTCTACTTGTTACGCCCGACAATGTGCACTAAAAAAACATAATTAACAACAAGAATATCTTACATCTTCTTGCTGTACGATGTAATTCTTAATGTCACTGAAAATAAAACGCATATCGTCATTATCACCATCAAAAGATAAAGATTTATCAATAAGTGTAATGCAGCTTAATAAAGCTTATTAGGTACTTTCTAGTGTTAAACTATAGCCAATACTGTTTACGATTTCTAAGACATTTCTAAGGTAGTTATCCCCACTCGTCACTTCTCTATTAGCACCCAATGCCCTACAAAAGTCGAAGAAAAACAATTTCTCGGCATATGCCTCCAAGAGCATACTTGGCAGTAATTGCACATCTGCTTGAAAACAACTTCATTAATCTTTTCATTTGTGTACCAATGTTTTGGAGTAAAATATATCCTAAATCAATCCCTCAGCTTCGTTTTGTTGTTTAAGAATGTTTGACAAAACAATTTATTAAAAGTACGCACCTAAACATTCGCAACATCATCTCCAAATTGGCTAAAGAAAGGAAAAGGATATAATGGTTTTCAAGGAATGAAAATGTAAAGTATCAAACCTAAGTTAACATGCGTGGACATTATTTATGATCCAGGGGTGTCTATGGCTGTAAGTTCTATGGTTTCTATTTGATAATTTAATCACACTGTGTAATGATAAGGCGAATTGGTAACTAAGGCAATTGAGGGCTCTAACACCAAACCAAAAATAAAAACAAATCCAATCAAAACCAAGGTGAATGCCACAAAGACCCGATAAAAATTAAAAGTAAATCCATTTACACGACCTCATAGGCGGAAAGCGAGATTGAACAAGTATTTTTTTCAGAACCATTTTCAAACGTGTCGAAAGCTATCCGAGACGGATCATGAGTTTTGCTTGACCTTACGCTGTGTGATTGGTACAAGAAACTCGCGCCACTCTCTAAACCAATCAGACGCAGAACTAAAACAAATCATACCTTGGTCGCCGGCGTTTTCCGGCGTTTTCCCGCGTTTTAGGCAGTTTGTTTGGTTTAGTTTGTGTTCTCATTGGTTTCTAGGGTTTTTTTTTCTTGCTTCTGATTGGAAGTTGTGATAACCGCTATGGTTTTAGTTCAATCGAAAAGCGCTCTCGTAATCGACTCCAATTAGTCCAGAGTGGAACAAGTTTTCCAAACCGATCATAAGGTCCAGTAAAACGAAACCATAACAATACCGAGATATCCTCGACAATCAGTTCAATATTTGTTCGTGAATCAAACAGCAGAAGCGAACTCTTAGTCTTAAAACACAGCACCACAAGAAAAAAAAGAAACGTTCAAACCAGACCAAAGAGCATATGACCGACCTGTCAACCAAACTTCATAGCCTGTTAAGAATGAAACTACGAGAAACACTGAGCACCTATAAAGATTTCAGCCGTACTAGCAAGCATTTAAAAAATGTGTGATGTTGTTCAAGAAAATGTTAAAAAGTTATTACATAAAAATCCCACAATGTACATGTAACTCACATGCTAAAACAAGCTGTTGGAAATTTCTGACGAACTGATCTCTGCTCTCTTTCCATTCTTGCAACGAGTAGAAAGTTTGTCTGCAAATGCATAAAATATGTTTTTAAGAAAACTTCCTTCAAGGAGATGTATTAAAAATCAAACTAAAAGGTGATGTTTTTCAGTCAGTAAAAAAGGTATACTTGGAAACATTAACAATAGAAATCCTACCGTTAGCAGCCTACGGCCAAAAATAGAGACTAGTTTGGTGGTAAAGTACCTTTGAAGAAGAAGACTGTCGAAGTGGATAACTGCGTTTTTCATCCTAAACAAAAGCGTTATTAAAAAAATATCATCCTGAAATTTACGAAGGGAAGGTTCATTTTATTACCCAAAGCACTCTCTGACACGGAAAAAGCAAATATTCGAACAGGATCAAAACCTTCAAGACGGTTTGGTTTACCATCATTAAAGAAAGAGAAAGACGCATAGTTTTCCATTGTTGATTACTTTGAAATGGTTCACACAATTGTCAGTTTAAGATACAAAATTTATGCGGAGAATGTCAAGCTTCACTCGAAAATATGCGATTGCTTTAAACCGCGTATCGCACGGTAACTTGGATAAAACTAACAAAAGGTCTATACCTGAATTTGTACAATTCCGCAGCATAAGTTGGCAATCGCTGAATTCTCGGAGGGCTTTTTACTGAACCTTCGTCGATATCAGCGATAACAAAGGTGGAAAACTGAAAAAAAAAAAAAAATGCGCAAATAAATTTCCCTCTATAAACAAATAATTGAAAATTGTTCCAGTGCATATCATGAAGTTCTTCGAAGTGAAATCGATTGGATATAGAATAAAACTCACAATCTGAAGATGGGGATATGAAAAAAATGGTAAGAACATTTGCTTGAAGCTGAAAGAAAAGCTCGCTCGACAACTGACTGAAAGACCCTTTGATCAAATTGCTTAGACAAATCGATATTTTACAATTTTACAAGAATCTTAGTTCTGACTTTGGACAGAACGATTGTACATTTATCCATTACTAAACGGGGGGAGGGCTAGTTAGAAATCTTCTACAAAAATTGAAACGGGGCGAAATCAATTGCATGTGAACTGTCTGTGGACACTGTTTAAAAGTACAGTTACTAGAGGGTATAACATTTATTTATACCTCATCCATCTCTTTGACAACCCGTTCTATTTTGCTCTTATGTTCTCTATGACATCCCATAATAAATGCACCAGGCGCTTCTACTAAATCCAGTAGTGCACTGCAGAGGTATCAAATACATATTAAGTTATTTCTTGTCTCTAAGTATTTCGTTTCATTAGAGATACAAATAAAATACCAGGATGTTTCCTTCTACTAAAAAATAATATCTTCATCGTGCCCAGGGAAGATACTACTTTTATCTTTCACGTGTGAGGATATTGGTGTCGCCATGGTTATTATCATACTGTTATAGAATTTTTTTCTCTTCTTCATTAGAATTTTGACTTTTTGGAACAGAAAATACGAGTATTATTGTCTTTATTTCTCCTTTATAACTTTATATCCGAGTTTCATAACATTTTTGTGATACGCATTTTGCGACAGGTGACCACTTTAATTGCACTATTTTGCTGTTTTGAAAATAATTAAAAAAAGTTGTGTTTTACATGGAAATTTCATCAGTATCTATAAGCTAAACGGAACATTACATGGCCGCTTGGGGAACAAATTTTATCTTCTTGTGGTGAAAGTATCTCTCACGAGTGAGCTTCGCTCACTCGCGAGAGATGCTTACAGCACGAGAAGATAAAATTCGTATCCCCAAGCGGCCATGCGATGTCTTTATATATCTAATGCATTAATAATAAAGTTAGCGATAATGTTCTTGGCCAGCTATGTAAATAAAGTTAGCAATAACAGTTATAATGATAAATAATTAAGAGTAAAATAAAAAAGTAAATGTAAAATGAGGTATTTCTTCATTCGTTATTCATAAATTGTATCTCCATTCTAAAGATAAGGCTTCGTTAGTCTTAACATGCGCCACCTACGAAATTTTTACGTGCGACATGTCCCCATGCGTCTATAGGACGACACTGTGCTTGATTTTGAATGAAAATTGTTATAAATAACAAATGTACTTAATAAACAATGAAAAATCATGCAGACACCACCCTGAAAATTCAGTATTTTGACGCTGTTCGATTTAAGGGCGGTAACTTAAATGCAACACAGTAGAGAGAAGTTGGGCAATAGTCTTGGATGGCAACCAAAATTGCAGAAATTTTTCTGCAAAGCACACTCAGACAATTGTAAAGAATGTGATAATGCGGTAACCAGGCAATCGATATTCGATAATTAAGTTGAACCACCTACCTTGGAAGGATTGGTACATATGTCCAACTCCATAAAAAGGGTTGGATAAACGTGAACAAGCTCTGCAAATCAAGAAAGAAGGATAGTTTATATTTAAAGTAGTATTGCGGATATCCGCTATGACAGGAAAATAATTGTATTTTTTTCTTTTTCAAGAGCGCAGGTAAAGGGAGGCGGTTTCCTAGCAACAATTGAAATGCGGAAAGATTTCAAAGGTATTTCTGCGACAAGAGTGAACAAAGGAATCAGGACAAAGCGGGATGGAGTGAAAATTACCTTCGAATGGTGTGGTTGACAAAGAAAAGTCGAGGACTTAGGTTGGAATTTCCTTAAGAATAAAAAATTCGCATGACCCGTGTAGGATTTAGTGAAATAACTAGGGCTAAGTCATTCACGACCTTCTATGCAACCTTGAGCCAGAACAGTCAGGCCTTCCACTTACTATCAGTTTGAAAAAAACTTAAAACAAACCTCAATCACTGGAGTGAGCAGTGAATATGACGACGAGAGAAAAACAATCCGTTGTTGAGTCAAAATGCAGCTCATTAGGAGATGAATGTCATCCAAAGAGAAATAAAGGAACGGGTAATGAAGGTCCATGTTGACGACTCGATGTTCTGTAACATGATAGAGGATAGATTATAAATATCTAGCGAAGAAAACTTGGACATCAAAACAATAAATTAAAGCAATCCTCAGCTCGGATTAGATCTGCAATTTTTTTTTTTTTTAACGGAAGGATGATTAACCGTTACTGAAGTTGTTGAATTATTTCTCTATTCACCTGGAGTTTCAGCAGGTCGCAAAAGATGTTTAACTCCAAGGAGCTCGAATTCCTGCAAGCAAAAGGAAATGATGGTTCCAATTAATCAATTTTTTTTATTCATCAATCTGTCAGTGAGCCAGTCAGACAGTACATGTAGGTCAGTCAGTCAGTCAGACAGTACATTTAGGTCAGTGAGCCAGTCAGACAGTACATGTAGGTCAGTCAGTCAGTCAGACAGTACATTTAGGTCAGTNAGTATGTCCTCAAACCAAATTGACGCTATCGTTTCTGATAGAGCCACGGAAAATCCTTACAATTAAAAGCCTCTAAGGCATGTGATATGAACACACCAATAATGTCTATCAGCTGATGTTTATACAAAAAATTAACTTGAGCAAAGAAAAAGGCGAGTAAAGACTTACAAGGTTAAGCCAAGTTTACAGAAGGTCACTAGATAATTTGGTTTTATCAACTGAGTTGATAATGTTTCACAACATAACTTGGTTTAATCAACTGAGTTGATAATAAAAATTAGCCACCGTAAAGAGTTTCAAAGGTGACATTTCGAGCGTTAGCCGATTGTTAGCCAACTTCCATTATCAACTCAGTTGATATCCTAGCTGTTATATTCCCCCACGGATGCAGCAACAAAGTTTTTTTTAAAAACACACCCACTTTACAGAAGGTCAGGTTAATTATACACCACTTTATTGCTTCTTATCACAAAGTCCATTTTAAAGTTTTCTTTTCAAACAAGAGACCATAAAAAAGAAAAATGTCTGCTATCCATCTTTCTGTATAGGACTGGTTCTGCTGCTGCTGTCTCACCTGGACATACAGTCTTTCATAATGTTGAAATAAGGCCACTTCGAAATCAAACAGCAACATGTTGGTACGTAATACAACTGGTGAGAAGAGTCCTGCGCAACTGCAAAATGTAGAAACACAAGAACATGTCTTTCAGGGTTTTACTTTCCTCAGCTCATATAAATACAGAACAATTGCAATATGCACTCTTTGTCTGATGTGGGAGTCAAAAGCCCTGCAATTGCTTAAAAAAAAACTTGAAATTAGCAGCCAACAAGACTCAAATGGCTCAAAGCAGACCCTAGCCTGTGAAAATTACTCACATTTGCTGTCTGAAAATAAGCTAAGAAACTGGGTTGCATGATCGTATAAAGTCCAGTCATACTAGAAAACTTCGTGGGAAAAATAAATGATACAAGTGAACAAGCAAAGGTTTCACTGGACTTTTTGCGTAACTTTTCTCTAATTGTAATTTCAAGATCCTATGCCAGATGGCTTGAAGTTGTGAAATTGAAGTGATTTTCATTTAATCACAGTTATCTACTCATCATTATATGGGTTTATTACGAACCATCAGATGTTTTGTTGGCCCAGTTAGTAGTGCACTGCACCGATATTGCATAGCTCAACTGGGTCCAAATCCCGTACAGGCCTGAATTTTTTTCAGGCCAATATTTTCACTACTGCTCACAAGTAACATTCATCACTGCAAAGATGGCTTTGATATTCACTTACTCATTATGGAGCCTAGAATTCAAATTTTCAAGTTTTAAAATTTTCAAGTTCAAGTTTTTATTATTTCACACTGTTTACAGAGTTTACTAGTAAGAGGAGAAACCAAGAGAGTGTCAGAGAGGCTCTTAGGCAAGCCCCCATAAATTATCATTACTGTTATTGTTATTATTAATATTATTATTATCATATCATTTTTACCATTTCATTATTGTGTTAATTAGTCACTATATTCTTGATTCCCCTTTCTCTTGTGGAACAGGGTATACATAAATAATTTATGTGGGATACGGCAGCAGTAGCCATGTGCAGTCTTAACTGCCAATTTTTTACTTTGGATACAGAGACGAAAGTGAAATACCTTGTCCATCAGTTTTTTCATCTGCATAAAACAACTTGTA